TTTTTGAGAAACCTCCATACTGTTTTCCAGAGTGGCTGCACCAGCTTGCATTCCCACGAACAATGCAAAAGAGATCCTCTTTCTCTGCATCCTCGCCAACATCTATTGTTGCCTGAGTTGTTAATGTTAGCCATTCTGACAGGTGTCAGGTGGTATCTCATTGTGGTTTTGATTTGTATTTCCCATTATAGTCCCTTTCTTTATTAGATTGTTACATCCCAGGAAGGCTGTCACCCTGATTGGCTTCATTTGCCTTTTGTTGCTGAGGAAGACCTGTATGAGATCATGCAACCTCATTTTTGTGCAGGCAAATAGCTACAATAGCTACAGCATAATTAGCTGCATCATTATTCTTCCCTTCCTTTCCTAACATTTAAATATAAAACCACCGTTTTTCTTGTGCTGGGATCTACTTAAATCATGAGGCTCCTCACTCTTAGGAGAGAAGTTCTCATAGCTATGTTTTCTACCAGGTCTAGGGCACTCCATTGCTTAAAATAATAATAGTAATAGTAGTAATAATAATTATTATATATATATATATATATTTCTGGGAGTATATTATATAACAAATGTTAAAATAGAGAATAAGCCTCTCCTTAAACTGATACTTTAAAAATATCACTCACCTATCTCCTATCCCTTGTCCTCAAAACAATGCTAAGTATTGCAGATGCTATTATGAAATTTGTCTAAGTTTGTGCTCTCCAACACAACAGCTACTTGACACGTGTGACTATTTAAATAATAAAATAAAATAAAATTAGGAATTGTTTCTTTAGTTGAACTAGCCGTATTTCAAGTGCCCAATAGCCATGTGTGGCTAGTGGTTACCATATTGATCAATGTAGCTATGTACCAGTTCCACCATTATAGAACGTTCCGTTGGTCTAAGGAAATAAACTGAGTCTCACAGAAAGTGCTTAATTTGCCTAATGGCAAAATCAAAGTTAAATCCATGTCTTCACTGTAGGCTTTTTTGTGCACCACTTTGGCAGAGAGAGCTTTAAACATGGTGGCGCTAGGGGTGCCTGAGTGGCTCAGTCAGGTAAGCGTCCGACTTCAGCTCAGGTCATGATCTCGTGATTCATGGGTTTGACCGCCACATTGGGCTCTGCGCAGACAGCTCAGAGCCTGGAGCCTATTTTGAATTCTGTCTCCCTCTCTCTGCCCCTCCCCTGTTTGCACTCTGTCTCTCTCTGTCTCGAAAATAAGTAAACGTTTAAAAAAATTTTAAAACATAGGAGTGCTAAAAGCAAACCTCCCAGAAGTGGGGAGTTAGACCCCAATTATCAGCAGTATAACACAAACATATTCGTGGGGCATTTGGTTTTGCAAATCCTGGTTAAAAACCAGGAAGGTTTTATTGTTGTTAGATGGGTTTTCCTGGTGGCTTTTGTTGGTCGGTTAATTTGTTTAATTAACATGACTCTAGTGTGGTGATTGTTGACTTTAAGACCTTTCAGGAAACAAATTACATGGGACCACAAATCCTGCAGGCAAACTTGTGAACTCCAACAAGCATGATGCTGCAGACACTGACCACACCCCCTTAAGCAGCTGCAGCTGAAAAGAACAAAGAAAAGTTCCTTGTCCTTCCTTTCTCTGGTGTCTGCATTCCTTGTATGCCCATGGCTGACACTCATGATCATGGTGGAACTAGAACATTCTTCCCTCTCACCAGCCTTCCAGGTTGGTCAGCCTGTCCTTGTGTCCACTGGGTTTCAGCAAGGCCATATTGCTTGAAAGCCTTCTCAGAAGCTTTCTCTTTCTCATTAAAGTGGTTTGGGTATATTTGATTATAGACAATTCTTTTTTGGATTGTTACATCCCAGCAAGGCTGTCACGATGACTGGCTTCAGTTGCCTTCTGTTGTTGACAAAGTTCCAGTTTGACAAAGTATCTCACTAAAAGGTATGAGTCCCTTGACCCACTGTTGCTTGCCTACAAGAAGAGTGTTCAGTAACTATCACCTTCCAAAGCAGGACAACTAACTCTAATGAGATACAAACCTTTGCCTCATCTGCATTCATGAGCTGCCCGCACAGCAGGAACCCCTCATACTGGCTCCAGGGAACCACTGGCTCTGGGAGGTCTCGGAGGTAAAGCTTTAACAGGGAGGCCACGGTGTGTACATCTGTATCTCTGCAAGAAAATAAGCAATGTTGTTTGAAAATAAAGCTCCAGAACATTCCTTGCCTTCCCCTTTGTGGTCCACTAAACAGAATCCCAGGTTCCAAAGGGGAGTTTTGCAGAGGAGCAGAGTCTGATAAAGATGTATCCAAACAAAACATCTTTGCTAATCTTCTGGAACCATGACCCTCAACACTTTTTTCTTTATCTCTTCTACCCAACTGCCTCAAAAGTAAGTTCAAGGTCTACTTTTTCATTAATCCTATTAAATTATTTTAGTCTTCATCTCTTTCTCTTTTCTCCAAGTCACTTAGTACCTCACAATTTTGCATTTTCTGCTTAGTCTCTAATTTTTCATGTGATAACTCATTTATATTGATGGTCCATGATCTCTTTAAACCCTCAGAGAGCTCAAAACAGTTCTGGGACTCATTCATATATTTGTGCAATTGTTCAATAAATAAGCATTGAGAGAACCTACTAGGTGAAAGATACTACCTCAAGCACTGGGATTTCAGCAGTGAACCTGAGGAATATACAGGACACCTGGCCTCCTTGAGCCACAGAGCTGTGCAGACTCAAATGTTACCAAGTCACTACAAAATTGTGAGGTTAGTGCCATGACTAGCCTGGGACTGTATGGAGGTGTGTAAAAGGGACACCCAGTGCAGAGCTAAGGATCCATAGGGGCCAAGATCTGAAGAATGACAAGGAGTTACAGTATGAGGAAGGGAGCCTAGAGGGTGGGGAGCAGAGGCCCGGCTGCAGAAACACAGACAACATTCAGATAACTTCCTGTTAACTGAAGGAAGCTTGGACTTTTCAGTTCAGCTTGTCCAGTTTATAGCAGGAGTGGGCAAAGCATGGCCCAGGAGCCAAATCTGGCCCATTGCCTGTACACTCTATGAGCTAAGATTGGATTTTACATTTTTAAATAGCTGGGAACAAAACTCAAAAGAAGCAGATATCATAGCATGTGAAAATTATCTGAAATTTGAATTTCAGCATCCATCAAGTGATATGGCCATGCTTATTCATTTTTGGATTGTCTTTGGCTGATTTTGAGCTATAACTCTGCTAAAAGCAGAACTGAATAGCTGCAGTAGAAACAGTCTGGCCTGCAAAGCCTAAATATGTCATATATGGCCTTTTATCAAAGTCTGCTGACCCCTGTTTTATAGAGCTATTGCATTTATTATGCAGCTCTATAAGAGAAAATAAGTCTGAATCTACCATATGCTTAAAGCTCATTAGTGAAGAAATTATTTACTTCATATTTATTTACTTCACATCAAAAAACCCCCCAAAAAACTGGTATTCTTAAGTGACTGTCCTGGTAGTACTTTGAAAAGCAAGGATGTGCTGAGAGGTTCAGACAATCTGAATGGCTCCTCAGTTTCATTGATGGGGAATATAGAATTCACTGGGTAGGAGTGCCTCCTGGAGAAGGGACAGGATGGGCTGGCTTGGGCAGAAGGAAAAGAAGAGAGGCATTGGAGGAAGCAGAAATAAGAACATCAGGACTTGACTGTAAAGCTCTGCCTTGGCATCCTGAGTAAGTTTTTTTGTTTGTTTTTGACAGCCAGTGTTTGGAGATGTCTTCTGAAAAGGCCCCAGCTTTGCAGCCTGTCAGCTCTCTACCTCAAAATGAGAACACGAACTGGCACGGAGCCCCGTCTGTGCTCCACTGCTGCCTCAGGAAACTGGGGGTGGGAACCATTCACTTAAGGTGGGGATTCTAGAAAAGCCTTCCCTGCTGAGTCACTACCTAAAAATATTCCTGGACAAAGTCCTCTTGTCAAAATACATGAGACATTCCCAAGAAAATGGCAGAACGACAACCAACTAACACTTTGCAGGAGGAGCATTCACCCAAAGTTGCAAAAGGAGCCATGAGGCTTCTCCTCATGCCCCTGCATCACCATCCATTCCATGGTCTTGGTCAGAATCCAGGACCTCTCCCACACCCAGTTAGGCTCCCAAATCCCCTCAAGTCTATCCAAATGTCACGTGAATCGCTTTAAGTCCTGCCCCCTTCCACTGCCCTATTTCAAAAGGCAATGGCCTTTTGCCAGGATTCTGTCCCAGCTTCCTAGCTGGCCTTCTGCCTCCACAGTTCCATTTTCTGATGCACTGTCCACTGCCTGGCAAAATACAACATGCAAAATATGCCCAAGGAACGAGTGTTGCAAACAACAAATTAAAATGAGAAAGATAGTAGAGACGATGAATCAAAAAACAGAATCTTTTAAAGAAAAATGACAACAACAAAAACCACAAACTACTAGATAGTTCAATCAGAAGAAACCAGGACAGCAAAAATATCCAACATTAGAAAAAAAGGTTATAACCACTGATATAGTGTAGATGCTTCAGTGTTATAACCAGAGAACATAATTATCTATGTAAATCATCTTGGAACATTTAAAACCAGAGAAACCTTCTCGATTCATTTTATCAGGGGGAGATAATGCTGCTTGTCCTGGCTAACTCCTTATGTTTGCCTAAGGCCTCTCAGTGTAAATGTCATTGCTTCTTGGGGGTCTCCCTAAATCTACCAGATGGTGTCAAAAGGCCCCTGTTCTAAGTCCTCATAGTACCATCTAGTTTTCCATTTTAGCACTTAACACAATGGAAATTATACAATTATTTTTGTAAATTTTTAGTATAATGTCTGTGCCCTAATTTTATCAGAGCTGACTCACTTGTCACTGTTACAGTTTACATTTCCAGCATGATTTTTCCTGAGTTTGCTATTCCTTCAACCCAATGAAACATGTTTAAGTCAAGTTAAACATGATTTTTTTTTAAGTCAAGGACTAAGAGAAAGTCAGGAGCCAGGTTGAACTTCTGAGCTCAACACCTGATTCACTAGAGGTTAGCCCAGGCCCCACCGATGGCTCTGCCAACACTTCCCTGGTGGCACTGACCTTAAAATGTGGCACATCTGTATGTTTCTCATGGAAGTATAGGTATCAGAAGTGTATTGGCTTTATGACTGGATAGTATCCAGTCCAACAGAAACTCAACAAAGAGATTTTAAATTTTATTCATATATGTTTAATGAGAATCAGATACAGCTGCACTAGCACCTACCAAATAAAAGGTCCTTTGTTTCTTTTCATTCCAGTGAGACAATTTGGGAGATCTCATGGTGAAACCACACATATGACCAACGTAGGGGATCTAGATGACTACCCACAAGGATTATGTAGACCCAAGCATCGGCCCTGGGAGGACTCTGAAGAGCCCCAGGTGACCCTTCCTATTTCTGGGTATATAAACTCTACTCCTTAATTCTGGGGGTGGAGAGGTCATGATAAGCTGTGGTAACTTTCCTCCTTCCTGCCCCAAATATTTCATAGGTATCCAAGACTGTGACTCCACCACCCAGGCAGACTTTATAGGAACATAAAATCAAGCCTAGGGCAAGTATCTGACAAACCCTTGCAATCACCTCTATTCCTCCTGGCTGACTCTTCACATGGCTTTAGCAACAACCCACCTGTATCTTTTGATCAACTCAAAGCTAATTAAAAACATAAGAAGGAAACTGAATATAAAAAGGTGGTGAGCTTAATTGATCAGGTGCCTGACAATGAAATGCAATTTATAGTGCTGCTGAGAGGTCTGTAAATTTGATGCCCGTAACCTGCTGTAGTTCCAGTAACAACTCCACCCGTTGGCTTTCCTGTAAAAATAAAGCACCCTTGGTGAGTTAACCTACTGCGTGCCGAAGGCAGCAAAGACAGACATGCGGTGGTCCAAACTCAGACAGTGGCGGTGAGATTGGAGCGAACAGATGGTATCAGAGATGCTTCACAGGGAGAATGGGCATTGCTGGTGACTGGGGTGGATGTGGGGAGAGGGAACTAATGGCACTTAGCTGTTCATGATTTTCCCAGGATCACCCCTATTCCTCCGTCCTAAATAACCCCTTGGGGAATTTCAACCTTTGGAAACTGGACAGAGTTTGGGCCTGCCTTACCAAATCTTGATTTATGGGCTGCTGATTTGGAAAGAACAATGGCTCTTTCTTGCCAGCGGGACAAGCGCACACAGGCAACCAAGGCAAATATTGCACAATAGGCAGAGAGTGCGTACAATGTCGATGTGGGTGCTGTACTAGCTGACTGTGGCAGAGCCGAAAACCTCAGCTGGGTAGCTGGAGGCAGTGGGGCAGGTAGGCGATGGTGAGAAGAAATGTCACCACAACTGATATGCCCCAACCAAACCTGGGCAACCTCCACGGGGGAGACCTGAGAAGACGCCAGGCTGCCACGATATCAGTATGCACTCTCTCCACAAAGGCTCAGAACTAAGTTCAGAGCTGCACATTACTATGGTCTCCCAACCTAACAAGAAGTGTTGCTTCTGGCCATTTCTGGAAAGCTGAGAGCATCGGAGCCCTCTGGTATAGGTATGCTACATTCTCTACCACAGTGAGTCTATTTGTACAGTCTGCTCACTCTTCAACGTTCCTCACCTGCCCAGTGGTGTAGGCCTTAAGCTAGGTCCCGTCATCCTTCCGGCCTCCCCTACATCCTAAACATCTCTTGACTGCTCAGCAAGGCCCTACTTCTAGTTCACTTCATTCCTCACATAAGTCGCCAGCAAAATAAAAAGCTCTCTTTGTTGCAAGCCAGGGCCTTGGAAACTTCTGTGTGAGTCCGGTAGCTCAGCCGGTAGAGAGAGGTCCTCCTACCCACATATGGCAGGGGGAGGACATGGTGAGGACAGGGTACCTGTCAAAGGAGGGCCGCTCCCCGGCATCAAAAGCGTCTCTGAGCTGCTTCACCAGGTTGTCCTGCCCAGGCAGTCGGAAGATGCCCTCTTCATTCAGGCCGTGCTGGAGGATGAACTCCGCACACTTCTCCACCAGGATGGGCACCAGGTGGGGGCCAAATTTCTGCTCATAAGCCACGGTCTCATCCAAACGCTGGCCAAACACAGCTAGAAAGAGAAAAACAGGATGTTCCCATCATTCTGACTTCCATTGGATGAAATGGTAGGTCAAAGTGCTTTCTTTGCCTATTTCTAGATTTGCCAGTGTTGTGTATAACCTCAAAAGTTTTAGTGCAATGATACTAAACAAAATATAGGAGACAAGCCATCCATAATATTTCCTGGAGCTACAAATTTGGGAGAGTCTCTGGAAGTCTTTTTCTCTTGACCCACAGTTTTCCATATTTAAAATAACAACTCGCTTTTACTGAATACCTGTTGTCTGCTAGAAATTGTGCTAAGCACTTTGCACACCTGTTCTCATTTCATCTTAACAGCAACCCCACGAGGTAGTAGAATTGTTATACTCACCTTGCCATTAAAGACACTGAGCCTTAGAGGCACTGGTGAACTTGCCAAGGTCAGGTGCCAGGGCACGGTAGTCAGAATTCAAGCCCAGGCAGTAAACTCAAGAGAATGTACTCTTAACTATGGCAGCAAGCAGGCAGTTTTGAATTCTGCTTGCGTCATACAGCATTAAAAAATAAGTCTATCACACGGATGTCTCATACCCTATTAAACCATTGCGGCATTCTTAATAACATAGATTGTTTATTATGTTTTACTATTTTCAAGACAGCTACAGTGAACATACTTTTCCACCAAGCAGAGTTCCTGGAATGTATTCAGCACAATGTATAATTTCTAATTAATTGCTTAATTAATTAATTAACATTTGGATAGGTGATCACAGGGTTCTCATTCTTTTGAACTATTTCCTTAGGGCAAATTCTCACAAGTTGAATTACTAGGTCAAGTGTTTTGAACATTTTTATGACTCAGTGGTATGCAAATTGTTGTCCAAAAATATTTTTCCAAAGTATACTGCCTCCAGCAAAGCATGTGCGGACCAGCTCCACCCCAGCCCTGTCAGTACTGGCTCTATAATTTCCCCACCCCAGCGGTATAACAAGGTCAGTTTTTAAATCAGGACAATCGTTGGCTACCCATTCTCCCACCAGGCCCCTATTCCCTTTGGTTCCTGGAGGCTCAGAAGACAGGCCATGGCTTCAGCTCTGTCTTGCCTGATTTTCCCTCTGTCATAATTAGGACCTGGTTACACTGACCACTTCAGTTCCCAGGACACTGCTTCCCAGAGTCCTTTGGTGTTCCCCATGGTTCGCTTTCTGGTTGGTCCCCTGTATCCAGTCTCTAACGTGGATTTCACCTGTACAGAGCTATACTGAGCTCGTGAATCTACCGTGTCCTCTGCACTCCCACCCATTGCCCTACGCCAGGCTGGACTATTCTCTCACCTATGACAGCTGTGGTGTTCTCTTCTGACATGTTCAAAGCCCTCCTGCTGCCTACCTTTCTAAACCATCTCCAATTTCCCTAAGCACGCTCCCCGCCCCCAACCCTGTTTTTGTCACCCACTTCTTCCCCAATTGCCACAGTAGCATTTTCTAAATTACTCCTCAAAGTCCTAGGGGCTTCTTCTGCAGACCCTCAGATGCTGGGAGGTGAGAGCAGTGGATCTGGGAGGAGCTGAGCATGGGAGTGGTCCCTGTATTTCCTACTCCCAACCACATCTGCTGGGCTGTTGTCTGTTTTACTTATTGCGTTTCAGTGACACTGTTTGATTAAATATTTCTGTGGCTGCAGTTTGAAAGTTGGGGCTGGCATTCCTTAGTTTCGCATTTGGTCTAGCCCCTGCCTACCTTTCCAGCCTGACTTCCTGTCGTGCCCCCACAGGCACCTCACCCTGATGTTCCCAAAACCCTTGGACGGTCTTCTCATTGCCTAGTCTGTGTATGTCTCCTTCCTTGTCTGCTGGAATTCCATTTGTCTTCCTTGGCCTGGCTCAAATACCATCATGTCTGCCAAGCTCTCCTTGACCCCAGCCTGAGAGATTCTGTCCCTACTTTGTGCACCTGTATTCTTTCTCAAATACCCCAATCCCTTTCGACACCATACTGTGATTATCTATATGTACCCACACCCTCTGCAAGACTAGGCTCCCCAGAGCTGGAAATATGGGGGTGCTCTCTATTCAACCCCAGTGTTCAGCACAGGGCCTGGCACAAGGTAGGTAGCACATTTTGCTGAATTACTTAAAGAATTATTTCATCTTTAAGCAAGTGCTTTCCATGATTAATGATAAGTTAGGCATTTCTTTAGAGTAAGCTCTGGTAGAGACCTCCTCAGTGGAAGAATTTAGCTTGACACTAACATTTCTTGAGTGCCAGCTGCAGCTCATGTGGAATAGGTAATACAGACAAGAGAACATAGGATATGGTTCTTGCTTTCAATTAAGTTACACTCGAGCTATGAAAATGAAATGACCACATGCAAAATAATGAGAAACAATTAGACAATGGCAGTAACAATGTAGAATTTGGTTCCTATATGTCTGTGAAAGGAGCTGGATAGATACTTGGAAGGAAAAGTTTGAAACAATCTGACTTAAAACATAGGCCACATGGCATTTGTAAAATTCCCTTGAGGAGCATCTCAAGGGGGGAGGCAGATGTGTTTCTGAGCAGTTGAAGACTTAGGCTCAAGGGGCCCCTTGTACCCTGACAGGGAGAGATATTCCAATACAATGTGGGGATTTGCATGGAGATGTCAGAGCAGTCAGATGGGAACCCCATTCCTGAGGTCCCAAGGCAAATGCTCCGTTTTGCAGGTGACCTGGAATCCTCTCGGTAGCAAGTCCTGTAACTTTTTTCCCCATCCCAGCCTCTCAGCCTTGTCCTGTGCTCCTCCTTCATCCCTCCCAGGCCCCACAGTCAGTCATTGTAATACCACTCTCACCAGTAAACCCACTTCCCAATCCCCCCTTTCTCCTCCATCATCTCTGCTCTGTGGACTCCTAGTACCCCCTCCACACCTTCACCAGGTCACCAAGAGTCCCAAGGGAACACAGCATTCCATATCACGGAGGCTTTTATTCCCAATCAGAGACCTTGGTTCCAAATCTCCCCCCACTCCTCTTGCTCTCACCACCCACTCCTTTTCCCTCTGTGTCTCAGCAGGTGACCTGGTCTCCTCTTTTCCTTCTCTCCTCAAGTGAAGGAAATCATCAATGAACTCTCTTATCCCCAATCCCTGCCCTTCCTGTCCCTCCTCCTCTGTCTGCCTTCTCTCAAAGGAAGAAAAGGACCCCGTGCTTTCATCTAAAATGATGCTTTTTTGACCTGTGGGTTCCATCCCTTTGCAGCTCTTCTAGGACTTCACTCCCTCTCTTTTGTATCTTAAATATTTCTCTTTTTAGTTGAAAGAGCCCAGGTGAGTCTAAGTCTGCCAATTTATCAAACAATAACCTCCTACCCTAGCTCTCAAACAACCACTATTTGCCTTCCTTCTCTTCATCAGTACACTCGTAAGAACATGTCTACTTCCATGCTCACAGGCTCTACTTCTTTGCTTATCAAACTCTCCACCTCTCAACCCACCCAGTCTAGTTTCACCAGTTTGCATCTTTCCACCCAATCCACTCGATAAAATTTCCAGCGCCTTTCTAATCGCCAGACATGGCCTATGCTCATTCCACACCCAACTGGTCTTCCCTGAAGACTCATGATGGTATTGATTCTCCTTTCTCCTCATGATTCTCCTTTCTCCTGACATGATGACAAAATCATCGTTCTCATTCTATTCCCATTTGCCTCCTGGTTCCTCTGCAATCTCCTTTCCTGTGTTCCTTCCTCCACCTGCTCCTTTCCTGTGTCACTTCCCAACATTCCAGCTTAGCTGTCCCCTCCCTCTAGACATTCTTTTTGAGGAAGTTCATATGATTCCATACATTTGGATATCACCTACAAATTGGTAACTTGTAAATCCACATGTCTGGGCCAGACCTACCTATCTTCTATCTGTCTATCTATCTATCTATCTATCTATCACCTATCTATTTATCTATCCTTCCTCATTCAACATCTAATGGCAGTTCTCCCAGTGTCTTCTCCAGTCTCACTCTTGTCCCACCCCCAACACTCCCAAATTACTGCTTCTCCTGGAGCCTTCTTCCCAGGCAATAGCATTCAGTCAGTCAAGCACTCAAGCATCAGGCACTTTCCTAGTCATGGATAATACAAAACCATTAACACAAGGTACCTGCACTTGACAAACCCCATCAGCAAAAGTGTGAGTGTCAGGATTATCTGCAATATCTTCTTTTTCCCTCCAAACAGATCAGCACTTTCTTTTCTTTTTTTTATGTTTTATTTATTTTTGAGAAAGAGAGCATGAGCAGGGGAGGGGTAAAGAGAGAGGGGAACAGAGGATCCAAAGCGGGCTCTGGACTGACAGCAGTGAGCCCTTTGCAGGGCTCGAACTCACGAACTGTGAGATCATGACCCGAGCCAAAGTCTCAAAAGACTGAGACACCCAGGTGCCCCAGATCGGCACTTTCTAAATTAAACCATCTCTTCTCTGTCCTCGCTGCTACTCTCAAAATTATTGTGATGGTTGCTTTTGCAAGTCTGTTTCTTGCAAATTCCTTCCACTGGAATTCACAAAATCATTCGGCAAATACAGACTGAGTACCTGCCTCTTGGGTAGCTGGAGATTATTACAGAAGGAATGAAGAAAGGTCTTTGCTTTTGCAAACTCTGGAGCTAATACCCTTCCTTCTCCTCACCTTGAAACCTGATCTTCCTGCAGCAGAATTTCCAAGTGTCTTCTCCTCAGAGGGAAACGATCCCTCTCTCTTCTGTGCACACAGAGCTACTTCTCATGTAGCTTAGTTTTAAACATGTCTCTCTTCCACTGGACTATGAGCTCCTCAAAGGCAGACAGCCTGTCTGGTTCACCATCTATTTTTATGTCCTGGCACAGAGCCTGGCACATGATGGGCCAGTCCTCGAAGAGCTGTCATCGGCTGTCTGCTATTCCTCTTGTCCTCCGCCCCTTCTCTCCTGAAAGTACTCTGATCAGCACTTCTCCAAACTTGCTCTGGTCAAGGAGATCAATGGCCTTTATGTTTTTAAAATCTAGGACTCAAA